GAATAAGGTGTTTTAAGTGTAGAAAATCAGATGTTTGCTTGCTGTTGAGCTCCACGGTGTTTTCTCGTCTGTGTAACGGGGGTGGCTGATGTTTCTGTCCACATTAAGGTGGCATCACACCATGCTGCTCCCTGAGGCACCCATCTCCCCACCCCTCACTCAGGAGATGCCACTGCTGTCCTTAAATGACCGCATATCAGGTATGAAGCCTTTAACAAGAACAGGGTTCTGATGGTCATTAAGATCAAGCCTAGGATCTACCAAGGACTTGTGGTCATTTTCTTGGTCCCCTTCTTCCGCCTCCTACCTGAAGACTATCCCATCAGTCACGGCCTCTAGTTCTGCACTAGAATCTGACTAGTGGTGAGACATCCTCCTGGCTTTCATGAAGCATTTCTCAGATGGTCATCCTTTCCCCTTATGTGCTAGTGGCCCCGTCTGACTGATGCCTTCTGGAAACTCAGAGAGCTCTTTCGGTGCCCAGGAATGACAGTCCCTCCAGCCAGCTGCAGGAGCAGGGCTACTAATGGAAGCATGGCCCTCAGGGCGGCGAGCTTCCCACGCCTGGCCTCCCCGAGGCAGGCCCAGGCCTCAGCTCTGCTGCCCAGCCCTGCGAGTCTCTGCTTATCTGCTTACTTCCCCTTCCTCTGCCAACAGATCTGGCTCTTAGCTCTTCTACACTCATGGTTCCTTCTTCCCTATAACTTCAATTCAGTGCTGACTGTGGCTTGCTCCTGGTTCTTAGCTGACCCTCTTACCTTCAGGTCTCTCCAGGAAGGCTTCCTGCTTCAGCTTCCATTCCCGGCACCTTGATTCTCTCCATGTCTCCCTGAAGGTTCTGGAGATAGAGGCTCTGGCTGTCCCAGCACATGCTCCTCTGGGCACAGCTTTTCTGGCCGCTGCCTCTGAGGACACTGTCCAGCCTATGGTCTGGCTGCATTCAGTCACCTCTGGTAGGATGTGATGTGCCACAAATGCAAAACTGGAATTCAATCATTATTTCTTGAATGTTTATTATGCCATCTAATATCGGTAGTGAATGACTAAGAAAGGTACAGGGGGGCTGTCATTAAATTTTGACAGGTGAGTTATTGATTATGTCCTTAGGCCCACCCTACACCCCCAGAAGTGAAGTTAATGCCATCAGCTATCTCTCAAGCCAAGCCCAAAGCCTTGTGTCTGTATCAGAGCTGTCCCCTCTGTGCCTTCTAACCTACCTTTCCCGTCCTATCAGCTGGCTTCCTCTTCATGTGACCCCACATTACAGATGTTTACCAAGTTTCCTCTGAGCTACTCAGCTTCTCTTGTTCTTGGACCTCCTTTGATGTCCAGATTCTACATGTGCTGCAGAGACCATCTCAATATCTGTATTAGTCTAGTTCTTGGGCTGCTGCCACAGAGTACCACCAATGTGGTGACTTAAAACAACAAAAAGTTTATTCCCTCTCAGTACTAGAGGCCAGAAGTCTGAAACGGGGACCAGCAGGGTTGCGCTCCCTCTGCGGGCTCTGGGGAGAACCTCACTGGGTCTCTCCCAGTCTGGCGACTGCAGGCTCTCCTGGGCTTGGGGCTTCATGGCTCCAGTCTCTGTCTCCAGCTTCGGGTGGCTTTCTCCTCTGTGTGTGTCTTTTCTTCTTCTATTTCTTATGAGGATGCTTGTTATTGGATAGGGTAATCCAGGATATCCTCCCAAGATGCTTAATTATATCTGCAAAGACCCTGTGTCTAGGTAAGGCCACAGTCAATAGTTTCTGGGGTTACGAGGTAGACATATCTTCTTGAGGGGGCATTATTTAAACCATTATAATCTCCAATTCCCTTGAAGACTGTCCCCTTGCCAAAAGTGACCTCTCTGCCCTCTGGGCACCCATGTCCTTTATTCAAGCCTCTTAAGGCACTTTTCATGTCCTTTTGTATAAGGTAGACAGTTTGGTATGAGTGGTGAGAGTGTGGGTTGCAGAGTCAGATGTCCTGGGTTCAGATCTTGGCTCTGCCACTTGCCAGCTGAATTGCACTGGTCTAATCACTTTACTCTTTTTGTCAGGGCCAGGATGCAGTGGCATGTGTAGGGCACACCATTTAAGAAGCCACTTATTCTTGGAGCCCTGCAAGTGTGGGGGAGGCCCTCTCGCCTCCCTGTGAGTGAGATTTCAGGAACTTCCCTCAATTTCATGCCCCATGTCCCTCTCTTGCCTCAGCCCCCATCCTTGCCTAACTCTTGCCCTGGTTTTTCAATCTGTAAAATAGGGATAATGACCTCTTGATAGAGAAATTATAAGGATTAAATGAGTAGCACAAATAAAAGGTTTAGCACAGTGCCTGGCACACATGAAGAAATCGCTCAAGAAATGAAAGCTGTTGTTTATCTGACTAGAAAGTAAATTCCTGAAGAGCTGGTCTTCATGTCTAATTCATTTTTATCTTCCTAATAACTTTAAACACTGAAAAATAGTATGTGATCAATTATGTTTGAGTGAATTAATATTTGCCAAGTTTGAGGCACTTGGTAATTGGGTTAGCAGTAATTGGGCAAACAACTCAAGCTTCAAGTCCCTGGATCAAGAGTTCTTGAGCTGATTCATTTCCTTGTTCATGTTTAGTGTTCAGGTTTAGTTGAGGTGCTTTGAACAGAAGGACTAGAGCTCAAGCCTCAGAAAATTGCTGAGGTTGTTTTTCAAATTAGAACCATGAAGGAAAAGGCTCCCAAAGTGGGGTGCATGCATGCTGGAAGGGTTAGCTTGCATCTGGAGAGCAGCAGCTCCAATGTGCAAAGTGGCTTTGGTCCCTGTGTGCTGGTCCCATCAGGAATGGATGGGCTGGTGCTCCTCGGTTATGCACTTGCCAGCTCCCTGGGAAGAAGATTCTTTTCTGGAACATGGAGACCACCTTGCATCTTGCCTGGAACTCTGTGCAACTGTTGGCAGCATCTGGCCCAGCTGGGTCCACCCGGCAACACCACACTTATTTGATATTGGGGTTGATATTCCTCTTTTACATTGCGGTTGGGGCTCTCAATAAAGACTGACATGGAAGGAGTTTCCTCCCGTTCTAGCCAAAAATGTTTCCTTGGATGGGACACAGCTCCTGTAACTGATCTGCTCTCCTGGCACAGGATAGCATGTTGTGTGGTACCCTGAGGCTGGTGAGAAAGGGGACAGACTCAAGAATTCCTGGGTGGGAAGGCTCTTCCCTGCGTTTACCACAACTGCTAAAACACTATGCTTAATAGCCCATATTTGCATGGAAACTGTGCATGTGTAGAATTTTATTTTTTTACTTCAAGATGGCCATAATTAGAGCCAGACTGTTGATGAGTCTGATGATTAGAAGCAGCTTCTCAATTCCCCACAATCATGTGGGGTTCAATCCTGAGATCTGGTTCTAAAAGTTCAAAATGTGTGGTGTTTATCTAGCAACCTCACTAAAGCACTCTTAGTCACTGGTGCCAGACACATGCATTAGGTTTGCATTGCCCAGTTTTAGGATCGCCTCTATCACCAGCCACAGAATTCCAGTGAAGTCTGGAATGATGTTGGGAAGGTTCATGTTAGTAACTGCTATATTTGTGTCCATAATATCCCTATTAAATTAGCAAGCATGAGGCAGCCTTTGGTGTGACTGAGCAGGTCCAGTCACCATTCGTGGCTGAGCTGCACACCAGGAGATAAGGAGCCTGAAGAGGGCTCTTGGCTTCAGGAGCTTGGCCCGGTGTCTTTGCTCTTTGAGTCACGTCCACCACTGCACCGGTGCTTGTGGAGCCACGCTTGCACATTATCACCAGCACTCAACAGTGCTGAAATCTCACTGATCTATGAAGTCTGTCCTTCTCTGTCACACAAGAGAGTCTCCAGGGGCTTGTGGGAAAGGGATGGGGGGTTAAAAAATACATTCTGAGTCACTGCTTGAGAAGTTTATTTTATTTTTCAAATGATTCTGGTAATGAAAGTATTATAGAGCGAGCAAACACTTAAACTGGAAACCACCAGATGGCAAAGTCCTCTGCTTTAATCTACTACCTGAGAGCTAACTACTACTCATTTCAGAAGCTATTATCAACTGGTACAATGCTCATAAAAGAACCACTGCCTTTACAAGAGAGAAACTTGGGCACAAATGATCTCATTGCTTCCATTTGTATCTTACATAAGCAGCAAGATGCTAATGTCAACATCAAGACTTGGTTCCACAATCTCGGAGTATCTAGTTTGTCATGAATCATGAAGTGTCATTTTTTAAACTCTCTAATGCCCAAGGAGCAAGAAAGAAACTGCACAGGAAGGGCAGAGGAGTCTAGATCAGGGTTTGGCAAGTTACAGCCAGAAGACTGGCCCCATTTTTGTAAATCAAGCTGTAATAACACCCAGCCACGCTCACCCATTACACATTGTCTACGCTGCTCTGATGCCACAGTGACAGAGCTGGGTAGTTGGGACAGATGTTGCATGCTCAACAAACTCCAAACATCTACTCTCTGCTTCTTCACAGGAAAACTGCAGATCCCTGGTCTAGACAAATGGTCAGCTGAGCCAAGTGTTGGCTAAGGGTCCCCAGCTCATAATGTCAAGGACTGGGCTGGCTTTGGCTGTGCTCATGCACCGTGTGATTCAGAAAACCTGACGAGCCAGTACGACGACACCGCCTGTTCACCTTTCTTTGGAGAAGCAGTCTGGAAAGTAAAATTAGGTCTGAATATATTTTACATGGACTTATAAAGCACTGCTGGATTGCTTAAATATGCATAAGTCAGTGTCATTTCTCAAAACTTTTAAAAGATGCAAATGTTGGCAACCACTCAAGTATTGGGATTATGCTTGTGTCTGTGCAAAATTCTACAATGCTCAAAACCACGTGCTGTTAAATGTCGTCCTACTTCTAGTAATTAACTCTTTGGTCTAATTATGCCCCCAATCTTTGAAACCAGTTTTAAAAAGTCACCAGACACATTTCTTAGATGATCCTTCCAGTGCCAACATGTTGGACCAATTCAATAAAACATGCCATAAATTATAAGACTTTTATTTGAATTAAGGGGACACTTTCCACAATGGCAAGAATTGTTACCAGGAGTTCAAAAACCAGACATGGGCTCGAGGTTATTATTCATACATTGGTGATGGATTCAAATCTCGCCTTTGTGGCCACGTTTGGCCGGTCAGAAGTGCAATTATGACAAAGAATGAAGCTGAAAGACTTGAAGCAGCTCAGCTTTGGTCTCAGTACCTCTGAGTTAAACAACTTACACAAATGCAAGACAGCTGCTGTAACAGTATGGGACTGGCATGTCAGAAGTGACCTCAAGGTTTTGAACTGTCATTAAGGATAGGACCTATTATTTGATGTTGGTTACAATGAAGGTTAGTTCTTTTCTTCTCATTGAAATATTAGGTAGATCATAAACAACAGATACGATTATGGACTCTACCTGCAAATGGGTCTTAGTAGACATATGTGACTAATAGCACCAGAAAAGCCAGGATACAGGAGCAACTGCCTTCCCCTCTAGACCTAGAGACCACCTGGCTAGGTGCTGTGTCTATAGACTGAAAATGGCTGAAATCCAGTTTCTTAATTATAACTATCCTTTTACTTAAAAGAATTTATAAAGCTTGAGATAATGACTTGGAGAAGAAATAGTGTGTTAGTGAAAATGTCACTAAGAATATAAACACAATTTTTGAGACTTGTGTTGAGAGTTAAAACATATAAACCCACTTGATAAATTATAAGCGCTAAACAAATCCAGGCAGTAGGATATGCAGTTTCCAATTTCAAGTTAAGTATAATAGGACCATACAGCTGAATAAGATGTCATCATTCTATATTTTTATTTTAAAAAACTGGTCCTACTTCTTAATTTTTTCCTTTCTCAATCTTACAAAGTTCACTAGCCAAGGGCCTTTAGTTTTGGTATGCGCCATCACAGACTGCCACTTACAAGTACTAATTTTAAAGACACCCTCAATTTTCAAAATATGGTTGTTAGAGGGCTAGTTCTCAGAAAAGGTGATTCACCATTCTAATTCAGGAACAGAAACGTGAGATCTTTATGGGAGGCTCATAAAAGATGTCTTAGGAAAAATGAATGTTCTCAAACCCTTGGTTCAGGAGTGGGGTTGTAGGGTGAAGTGTTTCTTTAAATCAAAGCAACTGACACTATAAGCTGTGTGGGGAAAGCAGCCTATGTGTTCTGCAGCCAAATCGTGAATGCACATTTTTGTGTGACATTCCTGCTTGGCTTGCCAGGCTCTAATGAAGACCTAGATGGTTAGACGATCACTGGGGAGAGGTCCAGGGTGCAGGGAACACTTCACATTACATTCCACGAAAATATTAGTCTGTCAAAGCCTAAGAAGGCTCTGATTGTCCACAGGAAGGGGGTTGGGGTAAAGGACTGACTAATGCTAGCACATGTCAGTGTAAAATAGCTGCTGACACAAACTGAACACGTGCAATCTTTTACAAAGGTGGTCCGAGTAGCAGGCCAACAGCCATCCCTCTGGCATTCTAGACCTCTTTCTTCTCTCCACTTTGGTTCTTTGTTGAGTCACTCCCATTAGGCAAAGTTCCATAGGATAAGCCATCTGAATCTGGTTGTATTTTGTCCAACATTTGTTTCCCTGTGTAGATAATAATCACAAAAAAGTCTTTTGAGGTCTTGCACAAGAATAACTCTTCCATAATTCATCCCCTATCTAGGCCACGTTTTTTTCCCCTTTTCTCATACTATGCAGTCTCCCTCTAAACAAAAGAGATAAATGTCACGGAAGAAAAGACCCATGGAACCCCACGCCCTTCATACATGAGCGTGCGCCGTCCACGTGAGAGCACTACCTGCCTACCCCCAGGACCCATGATGCCGGCATGGAAACCAGGGAGGAGCAGCTAGGAGATGAGCACGGGGCAGGCTGCCACAAACAGACCTGTCTCCCTAGTGCTCTGTCTTCTCCACGCTTAGTCTACTGCATATAACAACATAGGAAAATAGTCTTTCACAGTGGCTTCTAAAGCTGGTATTGATCCTATGTATGGGGCTTTGTGAGGTAAAAAGTAGAGTTAAAGGTAAAAGTAAACTTTATTTCCTACCAAAGAACTTCTAACCACACAAGTCACCTACGATGCACATCTCTGCCATGAACGCCAATTGAACGCTCTTAGCTGGTAAGATAGTTCAAATGGGACAGAGAACACAGAATTCTGAGGGCCATATACTCAGTTGCGGGGACAAGGTTGTAATGGTCTTGCTTCAAAGGGTCGGTCTTAACAGAATGGTGGAGGGATCTTTGAGAACACCACTAGTTTTGTCTAGAAACCCAGAGGCCACGCCAAGTCCCTAGCACAGCTGAGACTGTTGGGCATGGGTGGGCAGGAGAGGAGGTGAGGACATGGCAGACTGTTTCCTGTGTTCTGGATATCGTTGTCTTCTGATGTCTGCATGACTAAAGTGAGTTATTTCTCAGTGCGAGTGGGGAACTGGACAGACAAAGCATGTTCAGCAGATCAGGATGAATGAGGGAAGTGGGAAGGGAAGACATTCCTCATGCTCAGGTGGCCGTGGAGAATGTCCCCGCCCGGCCCACAGAGCATGGGCACCTCGGCCTCCCCAGGACCCGTGTGCCCCTGCGGCCTAGCCCGCCGGCCTCAGGTGCTTCCCTCCCGGCTCTCCCCGCAGTCTGCATTGCCTGCTCCTTTCCCAGCTTAAGGAAGCTCAAAAAGGAAACTTGCAACATCACCCAAATGAAGAAAACAAGGCCAGTTTTCTTATATCCCCAGTATTCTGTGCAAAACTGACATTCAATAAATGATTATTAACATTTACAGTTAAAACATCACCGTTGGTTTCATTAAATGTATATTTTTTAAGGATGAGAACTATGTTGTATATTAATTTCATACCCCAAAGGATACCAGCCCTTACTAATTTTTAAGGATCAAATTTTCTATTATAAATTAAAGAATTTACAGTTTTACCAGGAATATTTCCAAAATCAATGTACGACTGTGGCAGATGTTTCTTTTCTCGACTTCTTGTGACCAAAAACACACCAAGGAATGACAGAAAACACCTGTAAGAGTAATATTAATAAGGAACACAAGAACACTGAAACAGCTCATGGCATTAAATAACTGAGCTCCATATTCTACATGATGACATAAATCTCATTGGTTTTGTTCTTCCTGTTTCTCATGGTCAGTTGCCTAGAACTTGTCTTAATTGCTGCAGCAAATAATATTTGTCCCCAGAACCAAGACCTAGGCAGCTTCCAACAAATCTCTGCCCCAAGTTTTTACCATCTGGAGGCTAATTTAGGCTCTAAACCCTTTGGGTAGAAGCTAGGTCTCATTTGCTATCCACGCATGTCCAGGTCCATTATTGGCATACAACACAACCAAAACAGTAACTTATTCTTTACTTTTCTAAGAAATTTAGTTGTCCTTGGCCATAAGAATAGTCATAATTTCCAGACCCCAGAAGTTCAGCCTCACCCAACTATCTTATGAAATTGAATTTTCAAGACAGATGTTTTTCTACATCGAAAACAGCTCAGGCTCAAGTTCACGTAACAATCAGCATGGGGAACACCAGCTCAAGCAGCAGCTGAGCCAGTTAGGAACCAACAGACGATCCTGTACATTGGAGATATTCTGTCAAAGGTCTGCTCTCTGTTTGCAAAAATGCAATGATGCTCACCAAATCTTCCGGAAGGGTTAAAAAAGCTAGGTACCCAGATATAAAAAAGGGATGCTACCAATCTGATGTTATTAGGCCCAAAGCTAATAGATCTTGGCCTTTTATTCTAGGTGATCCCAAAGGCATCTGTGGCTCCCTGACTGAGATCTAATGCAAGGGTTCCCTAATGCAAGGTGGGTGGGTCTAATACAGTATGAAAGGGCTGTGGAGAAGCTACAGAGGCCAGTGGATTTATCTTGACTTTGACTGGAACTGAAAATCCCCAGTGTGCAGAACCTGCAGAGAGATACCTAAATCACAAGGTCAAAGACACTGAGTTCCACGTATGGTGTTAAATTGAAAAATAGATTTATTGTAGGAGCTCAGGGAACTTATGTTTCTTATATTATTTTCCAATTTTCTATTCCTCAGGTACAGTGTCAAAAGGCCCTACATAAAAGTAACAGGATTTCATATACTTCACCTCTGAAACAGTTACTCACCCAAAAAGATAGATAAATACAGTGAGAAAAGCTGCTCCAAGGAATTCCTGATAAAATATGATACCTATAACAGGAATAGAAGACAAATTAATTGTAGCATAAGAATATTTATAATAGGTACACCTTGTTTTTCAAATTCTGTTAATACATTATTTTTTCTAAGTATGGTTACCCTTAAAATGCACTTCAGTAGCTTAGTTTAAAATGTTAGTTGCATGCCATATTTACATTTTCAATGATTTCAAAAAGAACATAGATTTCCAAAAAGAACATGATTCCCAAAGGAGTATCATTATTATAAAATCAACACAACTGACATCACTTTTACAAACAGAAATGTCTTATCCAGCCCAGGATTTGTCCAACTGGAACATGCAAGGAAACAAAACTTTCATGACATGTCCCACCTACGGTTTTAGGCCAGGGGTCAGTAAGCCTGACCTGAGAGGCTGGGCGGACCCTGGGGCTTCTGACATAGCATGTGCACTTCAGGCCAGCTGTTGTCCGTGCTGTTACTCTTGGCAAGGCCCTGTGGTCTGCTGGTGTGGCCACACGCTCCCTCAGGCGCTGGAGGACACTGTAGCAGTGACGTGCTACCTCAGCTCCATTCTCATTGCCAGTCTCCTCTCCCATTTCTTTCTTCTGTTGTTCTTTTTTGGGTGAAGGAAAACATGGATACATCCTTTACTCTGAGGAGACTGTCTTCTCCATTTCTTGGTCTCAATGATTTCTTCTTGGTCTGAGGTCCCAAAGCCTTCATAGAGTTTTTATACATCACTTAGAATTAAATTTTTGTGTGGGTGGTGGTAGCTTTGCTAGCTGGTTGACAAACATTTGCTGAGAGTTCTGTATGTTAGCTTTTGTGCTACAGATACCATGATAGACAAGACAGTCTCTTCTCAGGAGGTTTTCTCAGTCTGAAGCCCATCTCCTTTCCTGGAGAGTAAACTTATAGAAAGGAGCCACATCTGATGCTATTGAATCTTTGTTGAATGAACATCTCTGAAGCATTTTTGCATGTTATTACACACTTCCTCATAATAATTTTAATGTTTTAATGTTATTCTAAGCTAATGTACCATAATGTGCATTTTTAAGAGCATTTTAAGTTACTCTGAATTTTTTTTGCTTTAGTAAAGTAGTAATAAACTTTTTTGTACATTTTTTTCCCCAGTATTTCAGAATTTTTTGTTGTCATTTTAAGAGGAATTTGTTTTAAAGGATGGAAACATTTTCTTGCTTTAGAATTGTAATAAAATACATATAACATAAAATTTACCAACCTAACCATTTTTAAGCTTATAGTTCGGTTATAGTAAGTATAGTTACATTGTTGTGCAACCAATCTCATGAACTTCTCATCTTGCAAATATACCCATTAAACAACAACTCCCCATTTCCTCCACCCTCAGCCCCAGGAAATCACCATTTTGCCTTCCCTTTCTTTTGGTTTGACTACTGCAGATACCTTATGTAAGTGGAATCATACAGTAGCTATCTCTTTGTGACGGGCTTATTTCCCTTAGCATAATGTCCCAGGCTTACCCATGTTGTACCATGTGTCTGAATTTCCTTCCTTTTTAAGGCTGAATAATACTTAATTGTATGATATACCACATTTTCTTTATCTATTCATCTGTCAATGGACATTTGGGTTGCTTCTACCTTTTGGCAATAGTGAATAATGCTGCTATGAACTGAGACATATAAACATCAGTTTGAGTCCCTGCTTTCAGTTTTCTGGACATAGACCCAGAGGTGGAATTGCTAGATCATACAGATTTATGGTTGATTTTTTGAGGAACTGATACCATGTTTTTCACAGTGGCTATCCCATTTTACAGTCCCACCAACAGTGCACAGGGTTCCAATTTTTCCATGTTTTCACCAACACTTATAATTTTCTGTTTGTTTCCTAGTGATGTAGCCAGCCTAATGGGTGTAAGGTGGTATCTTTTGTGATTTGATTTGCATTTTCGTAATGATTAGTGATGATAAGTGATTTTCATGTGTTTATTGGCTGTTTGTATGTCATCTTTGGAAAAATGTCTACTCAAGTCCTTTGCCCATTTTTAAAATTGTGTTGTTTGCTTTTTTGTCATGGAGTTCTAGGATCAAAGAGTAGAAACATTTTTGAGGTTCTTGATAAAAACTATGAAACTCAGTTCTGGGAGGGTGGAACCATGCCACCCGACTCCTGAGAGTGCCTGCAGGACTGCAGCTTGTCAACAATGGTTATTGCAATAAAAAGAACAAAACAAAACCTTTACTAATTTAGTAGGCAAAATATGGTATCACATTTTAAGCTATACTTTTTAATAGAGGCAAAGAGAAGTAAGTCAAGAAGCTTCAGCTCTGTTCCACACTTCAGTAACATTAGATGAACTGTTATCATCCTCAGGAAGTTCAGGCCTCCCTGACCATCAACTACTCAGTGCTGAGCATTGTGATCCAGCCCTGTTGGTCCTCCTGCAAAACCTTCTTTTCAGGGGAACTACTCACTCTCCCTGTCCTTAGCACATTAATATTAACTATTAGGCTGTATGCAATGCCTACAGCTCTTATATGGCCTTGTTCTTTTTCCTTTCCAGTAATTCTAGGGCACACAAATGTTCAATCTTTCCTTACTTTCTTTTGGCAACAAGCTTAAAGTGCTAAAAAAAAAAAAAAACATGCTTTGGGATATAATCTTTCTCTTTAAAAGTTTCAATTTCAGAAAACAGAAAATGCAATAGTTACTTTTAAAAATTGCTCACTGGCAGTCACATTGTTTGCCATGAAATAAAAAAGATGTGCCAGTTAGGAAACAGATAAATCCCTAATTACCTCCAAAATACATAAACTTTGCAATGGGAAATAAACTCCCAATACAAGAAGGTAGAAAATACATCCTTGAGCCAATACAAGGGAATACCATATCAAGCTTGGGAAGGAAATACCTGAATCTACTATATTTTGTTTTAGACCAGGTTTCAAATTCATACTTCTTTTTAAAAACTATTGTATCTAATATATAAAAAAAATTGTCTGTAAATATGAAAGAACTGCAATAGTAAAAAGAGGTCAGAATAGCAAAGGTAATGGTGTCTGGCTTTCCCTGGAACACTGGTTTCAATTTTAGATCCTGCTTTCTGATGAAGGTGGCAAAGGGCAGGGAGGGAGAAGTTAGTGGAACTGTGGGTGTTTGTCCAGAGACAAGACCAAGAGGACCTGTTAGCTGCTTTGATCGTCAAAAGGGCTGGCAAGGAGAACAGGCTGGAAAGCAGAATGAAGGTGAGTGTCTTGAATTCATAGGAAGCTAATTTCAGCCCCAATATGAGGAAATACTTCCTAATAAATCTAGTGCTCCAAATACTCAGCATGACCCAAAGTGGGACTCAGTTGTCTCGGGAGAGAGAGAGCACTGGGGAGCTTCACACAGAGTAGAATACTTGTCCTAGCGGATGTTATGGGAGAAATTCAGACACTGGCTGGAGGCTACACAGTTCCTTATAACCTAAAGTTTCCTTGATTTTCTCATTTACTCTGAGAGAATGCTTTTGTGTGAGGTAGAATCACCTAAGTTTAGAAAGCCAAAACTCACCTGCAATAATGGCACTGGTTGTAAAGAATATGTGGTTCACTGGCACCACCGTCGTTGTATTGTAGAGTTTCGTGGCTTGATTCAGGAACCTAGAGCAGAAGGCACTACTGAAGCTCTGGCTTTTGGGACGCTCAGCAATAAGTTACCAATAACATCAAGAAATGCATGTTCTTTAGCTACAACTACAAAGGGAAAGGAAGTGCGGTAAAAGGGCATTTCCAATCAGCCATCATAGCTTATATGCATCTGATGTATGAGATCAGATGTCAGGTTTTATGGTCTGTTTAAACCAACAGCAGTAACAATGAAAAGCAATTAATCATATTCTGAGGCCACAATAGTTTGAGTTGGAAGCAATTCAAGCTGCTGGACCAGTATCACACTGGGGCTGATTCATTAGGATAGACCTCAGAATCTGTTAAATATCATATCTGGGGAATAGTATAGCTATCCATTGACATGCCACGTGCCAAGAAAGAAGATGGAGACATAAAGGAATGTTTAACGTTTCAAAAACAATGCTCAGTACACCAGCTGCAGAGCACATGTGGGAGCTCAGCTTCTTACTTTGGCCACCAACATGATTCAGAGCCACACAACTGTACTGTGCTGCCCAGCCAGACACAGAACCTTTTTCTAAAACAGGGCATTCCACTGACATCACCTGGGCACTTTAAAAAAGCACTAATGCTTAGGTCCTATTCTAAACAATTGAAAAAAATTCTAGGCAGCTGCAAAATATGGTTTCTTGTGAGTAGAGCCCAGGTGCACCTTTGTGTGTATATGCAGGTGCATAGATATGTGCATGTATACATATATGTCCGTACACATGGACAAATAAACCTCCTCAGGTAGTTTTAATGGGCAGCCAGTTCTTTAGTTGCATGCATAGATATGTGCATGTATACATATATGTCCGTACACATGGACAAATAAACCTCCTCAGGTAGTTTTAATGGGCAGCCAGTTCTTTAGTTGCAGTGTGTTCACACAGCTCTAGGGTGAAAGACACAGGGACTGAAGGGTGATAGGAATGCGGTTTACCTTCAATTGTATCTGCCTTTTAAATTCATTAAAGAATGGTTTAAAAATGATGATGCTAATCACTAACTTCCAGAAGATATTACAGCAGTACTAATCAGTGCAGAAGGAGAAAGAGAGATGAAATACAACAGCAAGATTCAGGTATCAGAAACACACTCAGTCATACAAGGAAATGATAAATGAAACAGGGACAAACATTGGGTTTCTCCAGTAATTCTCTATACTCTGGTAACACAGCCTGTGTCCAGCCTGTAACAATTAGCCTTTACTTCTAGCACGTATGGAAGGAACTACTTTCTTCCTGAGTTTGGGCTTTGATTTCCTAGCTGGCACTCAGATGGTGCTTTTTTATAGCATTTGGGGTAAACAGAAAACTTTCTGGTTGACTCAAGAGAGCCTAGGAAGAAAAGGCATAACCATGGTGTGGAATGAAGGGGAAGTGATTGGAGCAGATGGAAGTGGGGGGAGAGAAGACCAGAAATTAAATATGTTCCATGTCACCACTATGAGGCCCCAAGAGAAACATAAAACAATCATTCTGCAATCCCATGGGTTCAAAGAAAATTCTGGCTAAGATGCAAAGTTCTGGGGAAAGGATTTCCCTCCCGGCCAAACGTCTGGTTTTGTCCATCCCCGGGCAATTAATGAGTATGAGCTAAGAAATGAAGGTGAAGGGTTCACGTATTTCCTATATTTAGAAATCCTGAATGTAGACCTGCCCCTTTGATTTATTGCTAATGACAACCTGCGTATGATGGATATTAATTACAAGCAGAAGAGCATCAGGAAAGTATCAAAGTGCACTTAGCTGGATTATGGCCGCACTTTAGAACTCACAAGATGTGAGGGAAATGCTTAGAAAAATTGGATGCAAAAGATAAAGCTAGGCATGCTAGCTGAGGATAAGCTGTAGACCCTTCACCCTTAGAAATCAGTTACATCTAATTTTAATTATCATCTGAAGGCAATAAAGATTAATGCTCAGAGAAGCACAGGAATGTTGAAAGATTAGTGATTATGCAGAAGCTAACTTACTTGACTTGGAAAACACAAGATGCTATCATGACGATAAACATGATATAGAAGATGGGATAAGTTAGTTGCATTTTATCCGTCACAGAAAACGTGATCATGCCTGAGACGGCTTTTCCTGAAATAACAGTCAATGAGGCTGAAAAAGAAAACAAAAACACAAAGAAAATACATACTTGAGATAGAATTACAAATAAATACCTTAAGTTTACACGGTAGAGTAGTATATGCCCCAATTATGGGTTAAGGAGGAGGACTATTGTGAGAGGTGCAGGATAGGATTTGATACTAGCCAAGCGGCAGTCCTGTTGCTCAGGTTGTACTAAACTTCCAATTTGCTTAAATCAGCTAAAGAGCTGCTGTATGCCTGTGTGCTTTTTATCTTTGGAGCAAGATGCTTATTTTCTATGTTGAAAGGAAAAAATAGACTGCAGAGGGTACAATTACAAGTAGATGGGAAAGGAGGAAACAATGAAGGAAGGAGATAAGAAAAGTCAGATTGTCTATGTAACATTAATGGTAAAATAACTATTAAAGTATACTGAAAAATTTTAAAGCCAAATAGATGAGAAGACTGGAAAGTGGAAAGCAAGCCACTCCGTGAGTTTACTAAGAGTTGTACTAACTCTATGTATGAGCCCTTTTCTTAGTAAATGCCTAGGAGATTCATTAAAAATATTTTTTGACAAAGATGCTAATAGGAAGCAGGATCAGAGCTGAGTATTTATTTCTCAGAGCCAGCCATAAATCTGAGATTTTCATAAGCAATGTCTATTTATTTTTTATGCTAAATAAGAACCTATTCTTATGAGAACAAATTTTTCATAGGTTCCAAGGAGCAATGAAGAAAAAGTGACTTGATAAAGTTATGTCAATATGAAAGCAATGAAGCATTTTCTGGAAACATTTTCTACAGGGAGAAAATAGTGTTTTCTTTTCATATTATGTCCCTTGAAATTGGTGATGCATATAATTCCATAACTCAGCTGAACCCTACAGAAAGTTGAAAAATAATTTTTACAAGAAACAAAATACTTGTAAGTCAAATACAATATGATAGAGAAATACTACCTTTGTTGCTGTTGATCTACCTCATCATAATATATCTGAGCTTTAGTCTTTGTAGCTTTTAAGAAAGTATTTTATATATATAAAGAGTATGTTTTAAAAAATAGGTGATGGCAACCAGAAAAGGCCTTCCATTTTCCAAAAACTGAAAATATATTTTAACTCAAAGAGTAACAGGACACACTTCCAAAGTAGGCATTTTCTTTCCATTAAAAGTCCTAATTAACAGAGGAGACCAGGTGGTAAGTTCTAAATACAACCCCCAGTGTGAACCGAGGCCCTTACAGCTGGGCTTCTCTTCATCATAAAATGTCTCTCGACCTGGTCCTTTGACATATTTTCTTCAGATTACAATGATGGTGACATTTTAGCTAATCTAGGAATTTTAAGTATCTACAGAGATGTGTGTTACTTGATGGTTTACGTTTGTAAAGTTAGCTCTTGAGGGACCTTGATTCCCTCCTAAACTTTGAATGAAATTAGAACACAATGTGGTTATGGTCTTGTGGTCTGAACAGCCAGGTTTCCCAAAGGGATCGTAACAGACTGGTAGTTGAACACACTGTTCTATTAGCCTCAGAACCTCAGGATTCACTGGTTTCTATTTTGTTATTATTTTCTGTTTTTATTTCACTGTGATATGAAAATGTGGTCTGTACTCTTCAGCTTCCTGGTATTTATCAAGGATTTTTTTGTGGCCATTTACATGAACAACTTTTGTAAATGCTACATAAGCACTTGAAAGAAGATGTTATTCTCTCTTCTCAGGATTTAGAGTTCAATATTAGAGCAGCTGGATCAAAATTAAGTATTCAGTTCCTCTATCTTTACATATATTTCTGTCTACTTATCTTTTGTGGGCTAAGAGCAGTCTCCTGCTCCTCTCATATTTCTGTTAACATAGTTCTCAATACAGCTGCTGCCCAAGTCTCCTGAGTGTCTCCAAGCCTCGGTGCCTCCTCCTCCCGACCCTCAGTCTTCCCAGGATCAGCAACTAAACACTAAAGGGTGAGGGGAATCCAGTATTCTTTGTTGCTTTTAATGCTTCTGCTTTGATTTGAACTTGGTTTCTTTTACTTTCAATCTGAGTTACCTTGTTTTACACAAAATTTATTGTGAAGTCAAAATATTTCACAACCAACAATGGCAATCAAAATAGTGCTATATTAGTAACTCTTACAGAGCTGAACTGGAGCAAATTGACTGAATCCAATTTCAGAATCTTTTCAAAACCAGACTGGGAAGTTTCCTGAAATTCAATTTGGAAATCTTTTTTTCACTAGGTAAACTTACCTCATTTGCATTTATGACCATAACTGATATGCATGATCTTAATTCCATTATTTTACTTTGCTATTTAAAATTTCTTTATTGTCAATATTTTCCTATATAATGTTCATTTTCTCTCTTAGTTGTTTGCTTTTTGTTCTTCTTATCTGGTAACTTAGAAGGAAACAAATATAAAGCTGCTTTTCTCTTCTTTAGATCAACAGCATGCCTGAATATGGTATACATTTGTTTCTGTAAGTTACCTATCACAAATACAAATCTTCCAATTCATAGGAGATAATTAGTTGATGAGATGCAAAAAATGAAAGTTCCAGCACCTCATTAATCTAGGGGCTGCAGTTCACTTCAATGGCATAAGTATAATCTACAAAGTCATAGCAAATAACATACAATGTGTGGGTCATCTTACAGGCAAAGAAGAGGCAAAGGGAGAATTATAAATAGATTTTTATAAAGGGAATTTCCCAAATGATCAGTGAGATCTCCTAGTACAGAAATATACAAGTGTGTGTGTGCATGTTGTGTGTGTATGTGTGTGTGAGAGAGAGGAAGTGAGGACGTAGGAGAGATGAAAAAATATGAGGTAGGCTTATCTAAGCATCAGTTTTTGGATCTTATAAGGTGCCTCTGGAAAAAAGGAAATAGGTGGGTAAACAATGAATGAAAGAAATGTTGTATTTCAGAAAATCATACTGCATACATTTATGTTTCTTAGTAGCTATTTTTTAAAGTTTTTTAAAACAATGCAAACAGGACAGGTTTTAATAACTAATTCCTATTATGAAAGTTTCAGTTGGTCATTCATTTGTTCCTCTTTTAATATTTTTTTCAATTACTTACTAAAAAAAATCCTCAAATTGTCAGAGCAAATAAAATTATGAAGTAAAAATCCTTAAAATATTCTTAAAAGAATTAAACATATGTCGATAATAGTGATGGACATGCAAAGTATAATTTGCATAACTGAGACTCAGTTTCTTTCTATAGATCACAGTTGAAAGTACAAGCAATGAGAAAGGAATAGAATGCTCAAGTAACTTCCTTCAGACCTCCTTTCTCACCACTGCTAGATCAGAGACTAAGGGAACAAAGGACAACCTTACCTAGAAGTGCCACCAGGGTTAGCAGAATCACAATGTGCTTCATTCCTTTTCTTTTGTGAAAATACAGGAGAATGCAGAAAGCTAGTATTTCTAAAATCTAAAAATGAAAAAGATGAAAAAAGGCCTAAATTATTCTACACGAAATCTTTAGAATGCCACACTTCTCTTTCTGATTTTGCAATAATTCTTGTGTGAGAGTTGAGTGGAGTCCCTAAGGATATAAGTATATGAGAGCAGCATTAGGAGCCTCTGCAATCCCACCGCGGAGCCCTAACACCCCCTACATGCCAGTGACACCCACATCTAGATATCCAGTCCTAACCTTTCTGCAACTCTAGTCTCATTTTTCAAACTATCTCCTAGATATTTCCACATGCATGTTTAATAGCCATATCATGTGAGAGTGGGCAACATTTAACTCCTGATTGCCTACCTTTTCCACCTGTTCTTCCTGGGCCTCACCCCCTCCGGAAATTATGTCACCACGTGCCCTGCTGCCCAAGCCAAAGTCTCTGCCCTTCCCCTGTTTCCCTCCCTCCCGCCACTTCCCACTGACTACTGAAAATAGCTTCTAATTCATCTCAGATTCCGCTCTTGCCTCTATGATCCAGCCTTTCAGCAGCCAGAGAATTTATGTAAAAACACAATTTGGGTAAAGAAATATTACACTCATAGAGAATATCTAAGATATACATATAAGGAATTTACAGTAATATGAGAAGTACTCATGTGCACGTTACCCAAGCTGAGAAAGAACCTGCAGTTCCTTCTGGAGTCTCTTGTGTTCCCCTCCTCAAGTATGCTCCCCTCCTGCTACAACCTCCCCAGGAACCGCTACACTGAATTCTGTTTACCATTCACTTTCTTTACAGTTTATCACATTTCTATGTGTCCCCAAATGATGCCATTCACTTTTGCATATGTTTGGACTTGATATAAGTGGACTCATACTTGCTTTCACTTGCTTTTTCCCCACTGCATTATGTCTATGAGATTCATCCAGGATGATACATATACTACAAATATAAATTAGATCCAGTCATTCCTTTGCTTAAACCTCCTATGGTTTTCTATTACATTAGGAATAAAATCCAAACTCCCTCCTGGATTACAAAGTCTCAGCCAGCTTCTCAGACCTCATCTTGTACAGCTACCTCATAGACCGTCCAACCTGTGCTAGCCATAAACGGCCTTTTCATTCCCCCAGTTCTTTCCAGCCCTCAAATTGCTTCTGCCTTTGGGCCTTTGCACTAATTGTTCACACTGCCTGGAATGTTTTTTCCTTGATCTTTCCACAATGTCTTCTTCTAGTCATTCACCTCTCAACATAAATGTCACCTCCTCTAAGAGGTCTTCCCGACCACTATGATATAACAGAGCCACTCCATCACCTACTGTACAGCATTTTATCATCATCTGGCATATTTCCTGTTCATGTATTTATGTGTTTCTTGTCTATCTTCTCCACTAGCACATCACTTCTATAGGAACAGGGACCTTATCTGTCCTATTCCCTATTCTACCTCTAGTGTATGGCACACAGTCATTCAAAAAGTATTTATGGAATTAACGAGTAAATTACATCTCAAATTTATTATGAACAACTTGCCAAAAAACAGACCTAATGTCTAATAAACTGAATGCTCAATAAATACTGACTGAATGCCTAAAATTTTCC